ACTACGAGCCTAAAGTGAAGTAAGTAGAATTCACATCGATTTAATTGATGGGGTTTAGTGTTTTGCGAGATGTAAACCATCACTTTCTGAAAGTTTTTTAAAGTATATTTTTTCATTTTTGGATTAATAGCTATTTTTGCAAATGTAGCAGCACAAATGTGTCTTCTGAAGCAGTACAATATTTTGGAATGAAATTTAAATCTGAACATTAATCAACTCATGCATACACAGCCCAGACAAATACTGGTTCTTTCACACCACATGAATTACATCATGATATCCAAGGATCAGTGATGTTTGATGTAATGTAGTGTGCCACCCTTTGATTCAGAGTCATTATGCTTCAGAAGAATACGATTTGGGTCTTGAAATTCTAGTTATAGTAGGCTTAATATGGATTACAAAAAAAGGTCTTTTGTGTTATATTTCCACTTGCACTTATCTTAAAGTTGCTTTGGGTTTGTATAAAGGTGTGTTGATTTATTATTTATATTTATTAAATTATATTAGTAAAAAGAAAAAGTTGTATGAAAATGCCCTCTGACCTTACCTCTTTTACTTTAACAAATGCTGTTCTTGTGGGGTTTCCACACACAAGTACATCTGATGTGTGAGCGGCCATCAGGCGCAAGTGTAATTCTTTATAGAATTGCAATTTTTTGGACATGTATAATTTAAAATGGTTATGTATTATGTTGTATTGTTTTTGATTTGTTTTATAGTATTTATTTTACGTTCGGAATAAAGTCTCAAAAAAAAAATCTAAATCAAATTCTGTCATTGAAGTTATGTATTTATTGTAATGACCTTAAAAAGTGGATTCGGCATTGGGGAAAAATTAGCATATTTTTACTCAAAAATAATACATTTATAGTATATTTATTGTGTGTTTCAAAGACACTCATAATTAATTTGTAATGTACTCGTAATACAAAAAAAGTACACTTTAATATCACTAATCAAGCATGTAAATAGGCATATACTTAAAGTGTACTAAGTGTACTTGAAGTTGTTCCAATTTAGTATAGAAAAGTACACTAAATACACTTAAAGTTATACTTTAGTATAATTTAATTACAACTAAAATACACTTAGTACAAAAATAGTTGTTCCAAAATAGCACACTTCAAGTTAACTAATCATTAACACACTTGAAGTATACTGACAATTAGTCTGGCTGCAAGTATACTTAGTATACTTTTTTTTCACTAGGGTAAGCTGCCCCAGAGCAGCCCACACGCTCTCTCCGTACCTGAGATCATACCGAATTGATTCTAACCTGCTTTATTACTGGGAACATTTCTTCAACTATTTATTTATTTGTATCAGCTTAATACAAATGTGTGGATACTAAAGATTTATTTGTGTTCAGCTCAACATCAAAATATGTTGGTGTGTGTTTAACTTAGATTTGAGTGTAATAGCCCTTGTCAGGCTCTAAGTGTGGTGATCTTTGATCTTTTATCCCTTAACACGCTTTGTACCCCAGGAGCAGTAACGTGTCCTTGTGTTCCCTGGGAACATTTGCTCTGTAGGGCAACGAACAAGATTCACTGCGCTGCTAACATGACCTCACGCTTGTCTTACCTCAAACACACGCATATGATTGTACAGTACACATTGTACAGTGCAACATCAGTGTTTTTTATGTCAGACTGTAGGATATAAATCTTGAGACATTTGTCACATTTGACAGTGTCGACTGGGCAATCAATCATATCATGTTCTGACATCCTCACTGACAGGCAAAAATGAAATGACACCGCAAATAAGTCCCATATGCCAAAGTTGACCTATATTGATTGCCCACTCATTTAAATAGAGAAAGGGCAGGGCTGTCAGCCTAAATATTGTGGTGCCAAGCACCTCAAAATATAATGATCCCCTTAAAATAAAATATAAAATATAAAGGCATTTAAACATCTGGAGTCAGTAAGCGTTTTACTATTATTTTATCAAATTTTTTTTTTTTATTCAGCAAGGATGCATTAAATTGATCAAAGTGATAGTAAAGACTTTCACAGTGTTAGAAAAAAAATTCAAATAAGTTTTGATCTTTTGAACTTTTTATTAATAAAAAAATCATTAAAAAATGTTTCCATTAAAATATTAAACAGAACAACAGATTTCAACATTGATAATAATATGAAATGTTTCTTGAGCAGCAAATCAGCATATTAGAATGATTTCTGAAGGATCATCTGACACTGAAGAATAAATTACATTTTAAAATATATTAAAATAGAAAACAGTTATTTTAAACTGTAAAAAAATGCAGCCTTGTTAAGCAAACAAAACGTCTTTCAAAAACACTGAAAAAACTTACTGGCCCCAGCCTTTGTGATGGTAGTGTATATTTTCATATATTTTTTATTTGTTTGTTTTTTTGCTTTTACTACTTTTTACTACTTAATTGTTTTCCTAACTTCAAATATATATATTTTTTGTACACAATTTTTCTCAGGATTTTTCAGACCCCTCAGCATCCAGTTGTGGCCCCATGGGGGTCCCCGATCCCAGTGTGGAATCCCCTGACCAATATAATAGTCTCCCTATTGCAACCTACCATTCCACAGAGAAAGCTAAAAGACTCCTGTAACGTCAAATCAATTCTGGGAGGGAAACGCTATCACACGGCTGGCCTCAGGGTTAAAGCGTCACACAACCTCGTTTCACAGCCTCATCACTCTCTATGGTGAGAGTGAACAAGGCAATCAGAGATACGCAGGCTGTCTGCATCACTGCACATATTATGCGGGGCTGTTACTGAGCACACAACTGGGACGCATGTCATCACAAGCTCTCAAGTCTGAAACATGGCACATTCTTCCCTCAGTCAAGATGACTGCCTTGACTTTGGAGGCAATCAAGAGCTCATTCACTAAACAAAAGAGTTTTTTATACTAAATTAAAGGAGAATACAAAGTCAAGCAGTTTGCAGAAAGAAGCTTTGACTGATTGCAAAAAACAAAACACTCATGGAGACACTTCAGAAACTGTCTGAAACTCTCATATCAGAAGCATAAATGGTTCATTTTTTGACATGTGACACATTCCAAGTTTTAGGTAACTGAAATAAAGCTGAAATAAAATATAAGTATAAGATTAAAATTAATTTCATTTAGTAGCCAAACATTACTAACTTTATTTTAAGCTGAAGTACTAAAATTACTCACAAAACAAAATAAAAACTAAAGCTACATAAAATTGTATAAAAACTATAAGTGCCATTCTAAAGGTGGGGATTATTAAGATTTGTAATGTTTTTTTAAAGAAGTTTCTGCTCATCAAAGCTGCATTTATTTGATCAAAAATACAGAAAAAAATTTAATTTTGTGAAATATTATGGCAATCTAAAATAAGAGTTTTTAATATACTTTCAATTTTAATTTATTCCTCTGAAGCAAAGCTGAATTTTCAGCATCATTACTACAGTTTTCAGTTTCACATCACCCTTCAGAAATCATTCTAATATGCTGAATTATAATCAATGTTGGAAACAGTTGTGCTGTTTAATATTTTTTGGGACTTGTGATACTCTTTTCAGGATTCTTTGATAAATAAAAATTTTAAAAGAACAATGTTTATTCAAAATAGATTTTTTTTTGTTACACTATACACTATTATTCAAAAGTTTGGGGTCAGTAAATTTCATTCTTTCTTTTTTTTTTTTAAAAAGAAATGTATGCTTTTGTTGAGCAAGAATGTGTTAAATGGATAAAAAGTGATAGTAAAGACTTATATTGTTAGAAAATATTTCTATTTTTAACAAATGCTGTTCTGTTTTACTTTTTACACATCAAAGGAAAAAGTATCACAGGTTCCAAAAAAGAAAAAAAAAAGAAGAAAAAATTAAGCTGCACAACAGATTCAACACTGATAATAAATCAGCATATTAGAATGATTTCTGAAGGATCATGTGACACTGAAGACCGGAGAAATGGCTGATGAAAATTCAGTGCTGCGTCACAAAAATAAATGATATTTTAAAGTATATTAAAATAGGAAACCAATATTAGAAATTGCAATAATATTTCACAATATTACTGTTTTCTGTGACCTGTCTGCCTGGTTAAACACAACAGGGGACACTAGGAGTCTACAACCAATCGAGAGATGGAGGAGAAATGGGGCCAGGAGTCAATTCAGATGTCTCTGATTACAACAGCGAGCTGCTTTCTGAAGCACTGTCACAGCTCTCTCATGATTGGCCATGTCTTTCTCGTTTTTTTTTGGTCGGCAGCACGTCTTTTGGCATTCCCTCTCATGTCGACTATCTGCTCTCATAGCAACAGTGACATCCTGTTTCTTGGAACAGGGCAGCACTGATGATGTCCGTCAGTTGTATGTGGCTGATGGAATTGATCGCAGGTTTTTGACGGATTTTGTCAGTATTTGCCAGTCTTGTTCTCTCGGCTCAGGCTGATTATTCTCGATTTCAGGCGTAGGCGGTCCTCCCACTCTAGAACTACAGTGAGGGCTTTTGCCCATCTGATCCTTCACAAACTCACTGTAAACCATGTGAATGATTTAAGGAATGCAAGATTTTGGACACTTGTATACTGATAACAAGTTCTCAAATCACAACAGTCAAGCACAAGACTTGGGAAGATTCTCCAGTCAGAATGTAAGGTTTGAGGGATGTGTCTTCTTAACATGCAGTATGACAACCACTGTGTTACATCACCAGGAAATTTCCCCAATACTGCAAAAAACAAAACAAAACAAAACAAAACAAAAAAGGAAGCTCCTTTTTTCCTCTTGTTTAAAACCAGTTTTAACCAACTGGTTAACAGTTTTTTTTTCTGTCTGATTTCTTGTTTCGCATTTAAAGTGAAATTGCAATCTATCTTTCTCTCAACAGATATGAGATCAGGTTTAAGATCTTGAGGAAATTCTCACCGGGGTCTCTCACAGGACAGGGCATCAATAACAAATATTTTGAATTTTTTTTTCATCAAAGCTCTCATTTTGATATGATTCAGATTCCACAGATTCCAATTTCATTTCAGTTATAATGTCAGTTATATATGTTACATATGAAAGATATTCTCTCCGTAATTATACAGTTTTAGAATGATTCAAAACAATTTTTTTTAAATGGATCATAAGAGTTATTTGTAAATCGGGCTACACTGGTCATACTATATACTGTATGCTTTTGAAGGAAATAGGGACATAAAGGTATAGAAATTTTGTGGGTGAAATCCTATAGGATTTTCATTCCTATAGGAATCTTTGCAATCTAGAGTTTTGTGTAAAGGAAAAAAGTTCCCTATGCAGATTTTAGTCATGTTGAAGTTGGTCAAGTGAAATTTCAGCATTGACCAACAGAAAACTGCTTGGTTTGAAAGTGATTTCTGTGTGAGCTGTGCTTTATAAATCTCTAAAAAATTTTTGCACACCACTCCTTAACAGTCATTTTTTGGTTAATCCTACTTTAGGGCAGTACACTAAACTATTTGTTTTGCATGCAGCCCACAGAGACTCAACAGAAAGACATTTTGTTTGATTATTTTGCAGGTTAATTTCATCACGTTCAATACAGACTTCATAATTACACAAAAAATATTTTGCCAAGGTGCTAAAGATGGCAGTGTCATCTATATGAAACACTGATACAGGGAACATCATAACTGTGTATATTATGAAAACAATTATTTTAAAACCAAACGACAGGAGCCATGCATCCTGTGAAAATAGGCTTAGAGTAAAAGATCAATCTTTGGGATTTTAAAAATAAATTTCTAGATTGTTGAAATGAAGATTGTGTTTTATTTTAAAATTATTAGTTCCCCATCCTAGTCTCTCCTCTGTGATGTACCTGTAGCAGGTGTCCATATCTCTTGACTGAGTGGATGGAGTTGTATCTTTTTCCGCTCTGTGTCCCTGTCAATGTGGTGCAGTAAGTTGGTGATGTTACTATAGAAACTAGCCTTCACCCAAAAGGCTTGGACACAGAGGGGAAGCTTACATGGGCATCCACTCAGATACAAACGACCATGTACACACACACACACACACACACACACACATGCAAACGGAGTGTAAATAGGACACTTCTTAAAATTTGGCCATTATGGAAATAGCAGGCAGTTGCAAATCTTTCTTTATTGCTTTGCAACCTTTATCATTTATCATTTACAATTACATCTAACAAACCGGCCAGACCAGTTTAATTTAAAATCCTCAGCAGTGTGCCATCCAGGAGCACACCACAGCATATTAATGCTGCGATTATCATCATTTCAGTTTAAATCAATTTAACCCTCCATTCTCATATGTTGAGTGCACCTACAGACAAGGATGGCAAAGATCACTTGTAGTTTTTCATATTCATGGAGCAGTTCTCCAGGCAACGTTTATATAGCATCTCATCTGTTAGTCATAGCGAGCAACTTCTTGCGATTGGTCAGTAGTGAAAATATGCAAATCACCTGTAATATCAAGAGTAGCAGTGACATTTGAAAGCCTCATGCTGAGCATTAGTAATGAGATCTCTGGTGCTGAAACGAGTGGTGTTTTTAGCTTACCAGGTTTGCTAGTATGTAGTGGTAGCTCTTCACATTCTTCCCCAACTCGATGATCTGAAATAGACCAACAAATGAAGGTGAAAAAATAAAGCAGTTAGTATTAATTGTGGTGTGCATTATAAAGACTTATCTATGCAAATAAACCATATAAATTCCACTGTAATGTAATATTTGCTGTATTATTCCACATAATTCCAAATAAGTTTTTGTCTTTCACAGCAGTCATAATGTGTGTCAATGTGCATGATTTTTTCCCCTTTTCTTACTGGCAAAAGTAAGGATATGGGGCAAGGAAGACGTGTCAAGGCTGGTAAAAAATAGATGTACTGTCTTTGGGGAAACCCATTTATGTTCTAATGATTACTGAACCACCGTCAATTTTTTTTTATACAAAATTAATAATAATAATAATAATAAATGAATAAAAAAATAACTAAAAATACATAATAAATAAAAAAAACTATAATTCAAAAAGTGTCAACTTTATTGTTGCCCAACTCTAATCTGCTAAATGCAACTATAAGGCATTAAGACATTAAGAAATTCAAAACATAAACGTTCCGATTTTTTTTTTGTAAAGCTACACAATGTGTATCGTGAAACACGCTACACAATATTTCCTACTATACAAAGTTTTCCTACTTCAAACTGTTCATTTCAATTAAATGGTGTCAATGCATGAATGCAAGTCATTTTAGATAAAAGCGTCTGCCAAGTGCATATAAACGTACCATTTAAATAATCATAACAACAATGGCACATTTTCTATAAGCATACACCCACCAATCACCGTAAAATAACTACATTCCTGGGCTTTCATCTTTACATTGAGTTTAGGGTGTTTCAGAATGAAGATGTTACAAAGAGGAGAGGAATGAAGATGTATGATGCAGGTTTTCTTTTGTGTGGCAATAGAGATAACAAAGCCTCTGCAGGCATGGAGAGTACAACAGTGGTGAAAAACAATGAGTCATACGTTGACGGGGGAGGAACACATTAGCAGCGCTCTCAGTTCTGTTTGGTACACTACACTGACCGAGGGTCACAGCTTGAACCTGTGTGGATGTACGTGAGTGCGTAGTGTGCAGTGTCAGTGGGTACCATAGACTTTGACACCATCAAACTGTTATGCTGTTCAATGGCTTCAATTAGAATCCTAGAGTGTGCAGAAGTAACCGAGTTCTTAGCGATCATGAAGGCATAATTCTGTGACCAAAATGTATGCATGTACGTAGCTATTCGCAGTGATAGCTTGTGGCCATGACAGACAGTAGCATTAGTTATTAATGGTGACCCCAGTAAGATTTCACCCAGCAGGCCAGCCCAGGGCAGGGAACACTACTGACAAGGACCCTGTCTGGTCTTCTTGTGTATTTCAGTGCTGGGATCAACATTAAAGGCATACTTCACCCAAAAATGAAAACTCGCTGTCATGCCATTCCAAACCTGTATAACCTTTCTTCTGTAAAAAAGAAAACATTTTAAATTCCTCATTTTTATTTTTTTTACAATGGAAAACACCAACCTTACCAACCCTTTTCAAAATATTTTCTTTTATGTTTCAAAGAAGAAATAAACAACATGTGGGTGTGTAAATGATGACAGAATTTTTGGGTACTGTTCCTTTAATGCAGAACTCAGGAATGAAATCAAATTTGTTTTGTGGCTTTTAGTCCATTTCTGTAAAATCTTTGAGCCAATCTATATGAAAGTATGTTCCAAAAAGCTGACAAAAAACTTGTAAAAGAAGCACATTCTGGAAAGAGGACCAAAAATAATGATGACTTCATCTCTTGCTAAGAGTATATACACATTTTTCTAATAAAAAGCACTCTAGAAATGAAACTGTCCGCTCTTTGTGATACCACATGCCACCAATTAGAAGAAGCAAGAAGCAAATCATAGACTTCCTGGGCTGTGACAAACTAATGGCTACTGGTGTTATTTTAAGTTTTTCATATAATATTTATATTTAATTTTATTTGAGCTTTAATGCAATTTATTAAAAAAAACATTAATAGTTTTAGTCAACAATAACAATGTTGACTATCTGAAAAAAAAAGACAAGCCCTTTGATATCCCTAGTGAAAAATAAATAACCTAAATGTATTTGAAATACATTGCTACTGTAGGTATACTACAAATACACGTGCTTAATAAAAATACACTGCATTTGTACTTTTGGTATACTAAACTGGTATACTTACAATCTGCTAAACTGGAGCAACTAGTTTTGAACTTAATGCACTTTAATTGTGTGGAAGTAGTGCTGAAGTCCAACTAAAGATATACTTAAGTATAAAATGGAACTATTGCAAGTTTACTTTAGGTACATTTTGAATATCCTGCATCTAAAGACTAATATTATTTAAAAAATCATACAATCCTCATCAATAGTGACATTAAAACACATTTTAGGCTTAATATTAAGAAGTGTGCATTGTGCACAAGTAGTAATCCAAATAAAGTTTAATTATCATTTTTATATCAGTAAGTTTCCAGTGATATATCAGTAAATATGTTGACTGATTTGAACTACACTTAGTATGAAATAAATGTATTTTAAATATATTACGTTTTTCCAAGTATGTCATGCTGTAACTTTCTATTTTAAAAGAAAGTACATTTCTGTTTATCAAACTACTTTATGGAGTCTTTAAAATATACCTACTAAAACGTTCCACACAATATCTTGCATGCTTAGAGAGTGATGAAAAACATGCACAGAGAGTTTTTCCTCAATTAAACCATCTGGCCCCTGGTGTTAGTGAAAGAATGTGCATCAAAGTGGGGGAAAATTACACCAATGCTGTTTTACGGTATGATTGGTGGACGCATGGTGATGGATTATTGCTTTCAGAGAGGAAAAATTTGTCTAGGCGTGCTGTGCAAATTGCCACCAAATGATGCAACAGCCTTAACTGTGGGTACCATGCTATCAATAACAACACGGCCTGTCGAGGGTCTTCTGTTTGATTCATGAAATAGAGGAAAGGAGAGAAAGGGAAGAAAAGGCACGTTCTCATTAATTACAGTAACAGGACGCTTCCTCCTCCTCCAGGCGAGAGAGGTGACAGAGAAAGTGACGCGTCACTATGGCTCCGCTGCCAACCCCAAATGTCAGCCCAGTGTTATTTATCTGCTCCGTCCTTGGCGCTTTTTGAGAGAGAGAAAGAGAGCATCTTGGGGCCTGCTGCATAGGCCACTCCATCTGATTCGAGTAGCCACAGGCTTCACCGAGTATTCCAGATCTGAATTACATTTAAAGTTGAGCCATCCGAACCTTCAGATGATTACTGATATATACTCATAATGGCATGGTTATTAGCAGCATTAAAGCTGACTGTTTGTGTAGCTATGACTAGCTGTTTTTAAGTGACGTATTTAAGTGGTCTTAATACATTTAGAGCAAAGAACAATCTCAATTTGGATCCAAAAATTGATTCCTCATTCATTTGGAGCGCCTGACAGCATGTATGACTATAATAAGACTGGTGAGAGCCAATTACCTTCTTCAGGATGGAGGTGAGTCTCTCCAGCTCACAGTCGATGATGATCTGGCCCTCCTTCTTTTTGTCCAGGTCCTGGAACACTTTGAGGAAGGACGCTTCTGTCATTGTCTCAAGATTCACGGAGGTCACCAGCCAGTTATGCTCCGCTGCTGTGTCCAGAACCTTCTGCAGAACTGACAGTCCTAGAATACAAATGACCAAAATCAGGTTAGCAGAATTCCAAAAAGCTGAGGTAATCAGTTGCATCAAAATTATACATTTTTGAGATTTAGTAGAATTTAAGATTTTTATTTTGTACTAGACAAACAAGTTAACTGCATTTAATTTGAAACATTGAGTAAGTTAACTTATATGTATTTGGAGGAGGAACTAGTTAATGTGACACGTTCTGTGAAATGCAATGTGTAAATAATGACATTCTGGTAAGTTAATTCATTAGGAAGTCATTCTGAAGCAGCCCAGGAGCTTGGAGGACTATAGTATTGACACTCTGTTATCTCCAGGTACCTCTGACCATCTGAATGCCACTTTATTGGCTGTGAATTCAGTAAAACCTGCCAGGATGATACAGACAGTGGAGAGTGAGAGCCACACTGTTCACAGACAGGAAATGGGGTTCGATTAGTGAAGACATTGATCTTGGCATTGGATTCAAAGACGGTGGATGCATGTGTGCAACACCAAGGGACCAATCAGCTTTCTCCTTAGACACCAACAAAAATCCCTCTGATTAAAAAACAATGCGCTATTACAATAGCCATTAAAGCAAACAATATTTCAACACAACAAGACACAATCTGTTTCAAAACCTAAAGTGTTGCCTCACTGTCTGCAACATACAGCACTCTCAAAAGTGTTCCTACTGTTGCTAAGCTAATGGCACGACAGCATTTTTCAAACCTTTTAATTCCAAGGACCCCTAAATACCATGCTCGTCTGGAGAGGGCCCTCACCCCCCCTTCCTAAAATATAAACGTGACTATATTTTCATGTACACAAAATAAAATAAAATAAAATATAAAATAAAATACTACAAACTTTTTGGAGCAGACATAACACCAGCTTCATCTTTCACATAAGAACCAATTAGTTCTCAAGGATCATATGATCCCATGACGTGATGACAGTTGAAAGTACAAGCGTACATGATTGCTCTTATTATGCTGCTGCTGAGAGCAGTTTGCTTCTTGTGTTCTCAGTACTTCAGCACCATGGCCAGCTCCTCCAAACTCATCAAAACCTCTCCAAGCACTCAACTGCACGCTTTCAGAGCCATCTATGCTTTTTGCTGCATGAGTACTTCACGGAACAAGCCCAAGTTTATCCAGTAATTAAAAAAATAATAAAAAATTCCTGCTCCAAAACTGCCTATGAAAGTCTATAGCCTCCTGTAAATTCTGCCAGGCTCTACAAAAAGACATAAATACAGCAACTCCCCTGTGAGCATTTATATGGGAAATTGTTTATGAAATGTTTAATGGACTTACTCAGGTTTGTTTTATGTTTTGAACAGCACCCAAAGTAAAAAAGCATGCACTCGAATTTTACAGTCTTTGTTTAATGCAACACCACGCAGCTGTTGCATGAGCTGTAATTAAAAGTAGAGCAACAACAAGGATGCACATGTTTATGGAACCAATGGATCCCACAGCTAGAGGTGGAAAGTAACTAATTACAAATATATTCCTTACAGCACTTGAGTACATTTTTAAATTTTTTCTACTTTCTTGAGTATAATAAAATTTTGTTACTTTTACTTTTACTTGAGTAGAATAAAACTCAAGTATTCAACTTCGCTACATTTATTTTTCACCAAAAGTACAAAGTACAAAAAAAAAAAAAATGGACAAAGAAGGTGCCGATGGAGAAACAGAGCGAGCCGGCGTTTGACGGGCACTTTTCAAACTGCTGGGGTGGAGCCCTGCGCTTCAACCAATAACAGACAGGTCTAACTCAGGTGCAAAACCAATCAAAACTTCCAGCTCAGCTGCGGGTTGGGCCATTCAAACCACGCTTTGCTTTGACTGTCAATCACCGGCGTAGTTGTTTTGAATCAGCATCATTAGCGTTTCAGTATTTTAGTGAATGTGAGCTATGCTCTGAGTTTAAATCGTAATTTTGTCAGCTCCTGAAATGGGTCATACCGTCGATATTACACAGCAGTATAAGTAAATAGAAACTCGGTTGATAGAAGGATACAGTTATTGCATGGATGGAGCAAGAACAATATAAGTGGCTAAAATACATGCACATAGTTCAGTTGAATGGTAAAAATCGCCCTCTTTAACAGTGCAGTTAAACTAAATGTACGAAGCTAAAATAACCTCAACATTAACAACAAAATTGAAATAAGAGCGCATGCATTTTTATGTGCATCTGGCTGATAGATCAACCATGATTTATCTGTCAATCAGATGCATTTAATCACTTTTTCTGTGTGCATGCTTTGGATGTGTGTGCACATGGGCGAAGAAACAAGATAGTCTATGTGTGACCGGACGATTTATTCATATCCAAAACGAGACGATGTGAACATTACGGAGCGCTAAACAGTGCATGTTTCATTCATACTCGAAGCTGGAGGGCGCTCTCCTGCAGAAAGTCCAAAACGGCCAAGTAGAAGTAATAACTTATGACCTGCAGGAAATACCTAATATGGACAAAGGCCTCCCGCTATTGCTGTAGCTAAAAAGGTAATTTCAGATCATTTCGAGGTAATAAATATAGTATATGAATAATGCAGTGCTAACTGACATAACATTTAATACAGTATAGAAACTATTCTGCCTTATTATGTGTTTGTATAAACC